TGCAGTCCTTTTCCACCTTGTTAAAATCACCACACCCCTTGCTACAATCACCTTCTCCTCCGTTACTATCACTTCCCCCATTTTCACAGTCTCTTATTTTCTTGTCAGAATCCTTCACTGCTTTACAGTTAACTTCTTCCTTGTCGCAATCATTCTTCCCTTCCTCACGATCATCCACTTCCCTGTCGCAGCCTTTGCTCCCGTTGCTACAGCTGTTTTTTCCGTCTTTACATTTCTCCCCTTCACTTTTACAGTCCTGTTTCCCATCGCCACTGTCCGTGCATTCGCTGAATGATTCTGACACAGACGGTGCAGCTGATTGCGGAAGCTCGGTTACGTTGTCGGTTTTGCCCGGCACTTCCTGCAACGCTTTATTATTCAAGAAATTCATAATGCAATCAAAACTGTAAAAAACAATTAGATTTTTTTTAACATTTCTTTTTTTGCCAAGTGGTAAACAGATATTGCTATAAGTAGAGAATGGTCTAGTGCCGGGATGTACATTTGACCGAGATTTGACACCTCTTGACCAAGGACGACGCCTTTTTTTTCTAGATTCTTTGCATTTGCTAAAAGCATGGAGATGGAAAGAAAACTGCAGGAGGGGAATGAAAAGTAAGCTTTTAAATCCATATATCGATATTGTTTAGGCTTTTCTACAACCGAAAAAACTTCCGCCCAATAATATTATGCAAACCTTATTACTGGCTGTATCATCTGTCACAGACGACGAATCGGTTTGCCCGCAGTGACTGAAAAGACTCTCGACTACGTCCACTGCCAGTGCTTCTGTCGCTCTCAAACAGTCGTCCGTCATACACGATGATGTAGTCGTGGATTCCTGCAAAGGTATACTCTGCTAACAACTTCTCACATGTCCATGAAATAGCCATAAAGACAACATTCTGTTCGATAGGAAGGCCTTTCTGGAAGTTTAATCAAACGGGCACTTCCCAAACAATGTACGCTGATTTTACATTCGAAGGGTCATATAACGGCTGTTCTATAGCATTCCCACGTCTCTGTAGTTATATTCAAGTAATAGTAAAAACTTTTACATAAGGATGATGACTGCTACAAATGAGAACAAAAAGTCAGCTGAAAGACCAATTAAAAAGCCATACAAATAATACAGAGAGAAAAATTAATCCTTATCTTTCGCGAAAAAAGAAAAAAGTAAGAAAATGAATTATATGCCAGCTGCATTAAAAAGCAAAAAAAGAAAGGAATTTAAATCTAAAAGTGAAAAAGTATTTACATTCGCCTCCTCTTCGCGTTCACTTTGATATTTCATCAACTCAGACATCGCTTGCATCGCTCCAAGCGCGCCTCCAAAAGTTTCGCTTGATCCTACAAAAGACAAGAAAAATAAACTTATAAGCAAATGACAAATTTCACTTCGCTCCACGCTATTTGAACTTAATATTTTTTTTATAATTAAAAAAAAGCAGAATTTTTTCCTATAGCTTTTACAACGTAATAAAAAAAACTCGGAAATCCTATCAACATTTTCCACTTTCTCCTTTTTCATTTTTTTCTTCTCATTTATCAAAAAAGGTGCGACAATGTAAGCAAATCAAAAGGAGAGAATACAATCTGCTCCGAAAGTGGGATGGGAAGGGTGACAGGGAAAGGTAGATCGGCGCAGAAAGGGAAGAGGTCAAACGAACAGCACAGCTAAAATAGTCCAATAACTTGTCTTCCCATCACAATAAGTCATTTTCTCAGCAACAAATGGGCTCATTAATTACCACTTCGAAATGGCGACCCGTCGAAAAGCTTTCCTTCAAAGTTGAAGCAGCCACCATAATCCGATTCTCGGACGTCTTTGCGTTCATCTAGAAACAAAGATCAACTAAAAAATTTCAATTTCAACTCGAAAGTCAGGAAATGCAAGACCGTACAACTCAGTGCACTGCTCGGGATTGGTCAACGATGTGCTTGGTTAGCTGGATCAGCTGTAATTCATAATCTGATTCTTCGGCTATGCAGCTGCAACTTTTCCAGTCAATCTGGTCGGCGCTGATTTCAATCTGCTAGCGATTTTGATTGTTTTTTTTTTTTCTACTGAAGGAATTTTAAAAGATTCAGGGACTAACTTCCCAAAATTTTAACCTTTAACCTTCTACCTTTAACCTTTAACTTTAACCTTCTATTTTTCGTAGCAGATGAACTATTACCAGCACGACGGCTCGATAAAACAGCGATAAGTTACTCTCTTTTATTCTTTAGACAACTATGATCTGCCCACGCAAAGTGCAAAGAAAAAGGAAAAAGGTCACAGAGATCAAAAAAAAAAAAAAAAACGCCAACAGCCTATGAAACTACGGAATGCACGCCGCTCAAAAAATGTTAAAAATAATGAGTATCCCCGTAGTACCTAGACGAAAAGGCACCTCATCATGGCCTAGGAGTTGCAACGCTCCACGAGATGCGGATGCTTTACATACCGAAAACATCTGAAAACGTCTCTCTTGCCAACAGCAGCTGCTTCTGCGGAAAAACAATTGAGCTGCCAAAAGACGGAACGAACTTTAGGACACCCGGTAGATCAATCAAGAAGTAATGCAACACTGATCAGTGAAAATGGAAAAGTTGCTGGCTGCATGGTTGGGGAGCCAGAATACAAGTTACAGGTAAGTCAAGTTCTAAAAATAGCTAAAAATCGCCCGGTCAAGTGCAGTCCTAGTGCAATCTCGGATTTCTCTGCAGTTAAAGTCCGATTTTAGTGCAAGGTGTAATTTCCGGTCTAAACAACCACTGAAGAAATATTATCAGTCTCGCCGGTAGTATGAAAGTGCGTGAAAATAAAATGATAGAGTTGATCAAGGTATCAAAATACTAAAAGTACTGATTTTTGAATAAATTTACAAACCTCTGGCAAGCCGCTTGTCACCAATGGCACCATGTGCTAACGGTGTGCATGCAGCACCTATGGCATCAGATCCGATCTTTGCATACGATGCTACAAAAAGTGAGCAGTCAAAAAACTTCGCTACTCTTCTTCGAGTCTTAAAGAAATTCCTTTCCTGGTGAAACCATGCACGAGTTTGCAGGTTTGTTATGTATGAATAAGGTTGATAACATTATTGCCCGGGAAATCGAAATCTGATGAAAAACTAGATGACAGGCAAATGTTGAAAGCACTAAATACCGCCAGGAATTCAAAATTTGCATTCAATGCGAATTATTTGAAAATTGGAAATGGAAGTATTAAAAAAGGAAAAAAATGGGGGAAATGTCAGTACGGCCACCGAACATTTACAAAGCACCACGGCTTAAGGAAGTGTGCAGAATACTGTCATAGTTATGCAAAGCAAACCTTGTGAAGCCGGCCAGGAAGACCCAACTGCTAAGCATTGGCGTGTAACAACTGGAACGTCCGAGAGACGAGGGACAATGCTTGCATTCAAAACTGGATTATCTCCGGCGTGATCAGTGGCAGCAAAAGTTGGTTTGGTGACGCACGGGTCAGGATTTTTATCCTCTGGGCGATTCTCAGCAATATTGGGTAACTTTTGCAAGATGTCCGTCAGAGTTGGGCTGCTCAACAGGAACTGGCGCTCCACTGACTGGTTTATCATTGCCACCTGTAATATTTCATTTCATTTTCGATATAAATATCCCGTACACTGCGGATGCTGAAAAGCTGTGAACTGTTGACTACAAAACTCACTTACAGTCCCAGCCCCATCTTCAATGCGGGACAAACGAGGGCTTTTGTTTTGCAATGACCGCACTTTTATTCACCCATCGACAGCTGTTTGTTTCCAAAACAGCTCTAAGGAAAGAACGAAGGAAGTACGGTTATTCTTTTAAGCCGGCACTGGTCTCTGGTCAAAAAACGTTGCTAGTTGCCAATTTGCTGACTTCATCAGTATTTTTCCCCCTCATTTTCCAAACCAATTAATCTCCCAATCGATACAATAAGGCACTTTCGTTGTGGCCCAACGCAATGGAAAAGTTGGGAATGAAATGGTGATGTAGAACACACACACCAAGAACATCTTGAAACAGACAAAACCTTGTCAAGTGCTTATGTGAAGAGAATCGCTGAGCTGGTAAGTCCTGAAGAGACCAAACGAATTTCAAGATCGGCGACACACCGATCACAAGACGATGTAGCATTGGTCAAATCAGTTAGAAAAATGCCAACTGTACAGCTAGAAAAACAGATCACAAATTACGCTAATCCAAGTATCCCACGTACCTAATTTAGTATAAAAATCGAAATATGAAAACCTCAAGATCTGCC